CTTTATTTTGTACTATCTTGATCATTTAATTTGGCAAACTTTTGTACAATTTTTTTAATATAATTTTGATTCAAATCTCTCCAAGCAGACACGATTGCTTTTCTAAATCCTGAACCCCCGAGTTGTTCACTTCCTTATCTTGTTAAGTAACATGCTTCAATTATGGTGGTCACATCTTCTAGTTTCTGCATGTATCAAATTTTGTCTTACAACTTTTATCCTTAACGTTGAATCTACGCCGACCATTACAAATGACGCGCGTTGCTTTATGAGAATGACGAAGCTGAATTAATGTAGACTTTTCGCTACTTTCATTGTTCCTGCCAAGGAATTTATTCCATCGTTTTCTGTGAAAGTCTTTACAACTGGAATGATTTTTAAATATAAAATGTGGAACCGGTCATTTTACAGGTATAGAAGATTTTGGGGTCTTTGTTAACACTGAACCTACTATAAAGATGAAAATTGTTAGAATTATAAAAACACTTTACTACAAAATAATTGAGTAAATTTCTTAGGTCGATGGTATATTCTAATAAAAATGGCGGAAAGTTCAAATGAATTCAGCCTTGTTATTTTTCCAACGCATCGCACATCATTGACCTTTAAATCTCGGTAGATTTAGCGTTAAAATTACAGAAGAGTGCTTAAATTTTGTAAAGAGTCTGATGTGTACTGTACAGAGTCTGATACTGTATATTCTGTCTGTATATACAAGGTGACCCAAAAATGTCTCGCAATCCAAAAGTGGCGGGTTTCTTAGGTCATTCGAAGCAACTTCTTCCTTTACAAAAATTTTCTCCGAGGCACCGTTAACGAGTTATTAACGAAAAACAGTGACCAATGAGAGGAGAGCTCGGCTGGCGCGAGGCGACCGAGCCAATGAGCGGAACTGGGCTTCGTGCGCTGGTTGGCTGGGCCGCCTCGCGCCAGCCGTACTCGATTCTTATTGGTCACTGTTTTCCGTTAATAACTCGTTAACGGTGCCTCGGAGAACATTTTTGTAAAGGAAGAAGTTGCTTCAAATGATCCGAGGAACCCGTCATTTCCGGATTGCGAGACATTTTTGGGACACTCTGTGTATCGAATCATGGACCTTACAACGTCAGAACTCCAATCACCGAGCGAGAAAATCCGAGTCGATCATAAATCGAGCAGGCAGATTCCCAGTCGTAAAATGCACACACTATCGATACAAATTCCGCGCGCAAAACCGTCGAATCGCCGATTCCATTCTCACGATGGATCGGTAACATGCACGTTCCTGCGGTTCCTGTGAAACGAACCGGAACGAAACTTCCTTCTACGGTCCTCGAAGCGGGAACCCTCGAAAAGTTCGACGCCGGTTCGTTGCACCGGCCAAGAGACCGAGACCGTCGTTAATCATTCGACAGTGGCCCGTGGTCTCTTGCTACGAGCGTTAACTTCCATCGACCGGTAACCGGCGCTGCCGCACACTGATCCGGATCGAAAGATTTAGTGACACTTTGCCAAAAAAGCTAGCCACTCCAGCCTGTCGATTTCTATTCTGCTTTTACCGGTCGATAACCTGAACAGTGAACCAATTAAAAGTTAATAGAAAATCGTGTAGCAATAATAATTTCACTCACTGTGTCAGAGAAAAAATATCTTGTTTACAAATGAACAACTGTATTCGTTTTAAGAAAAGCTTTTTCTGCAAGATAGCATTTTTTTGTTCACTATTATAATATTTATCATACTTTCCTGGCCTCCTGAGATTTTTCTGTGATATTTTTCTGGTAATTGATACGATTTACAAAAGTTTTTAAAAATTGTTTAATACGCTCTGAAGAACCAAAGGTTCAACAATGCTGAAATATACAGTGTCAATAGAGTATGAGTTTTAAATTACTACACATAATAATTGAGTAAAATATCACATTAATCGTTCTCGACGTATTTTTAAATTAATTACGCTTTCTATCTTAATAAACTGGCTACTTAACGACCAGAAAATTATATCTTAAGTACAATGCAGATTTGTTATCAAATTCCAGTCGGAAACAATGAAAAAATTAAAAGAAACTAAGAATGTTGATGTACTAATTTCTACTTGTTAAACTTGGCTAATTGTTTTTTGCAATTGATACAGAAAATTTGTATTTTGCATAAAAATTTACAGTCTAGTTATTAGCATATTATAATTTCACGCATTTATGGTAAAAATTAATACGCGAAGTTAGTTAAAAGCTTCGGAAAAATCGAAAGGTACTGGTACATGTTTAAATGTGTTAAAAATTAATTAGAAGCTAATAAAGACTTTTATAATACATATAATAAAGATTTATATATATATATATATAATATGTATAATAAAGATTTTTATTTTCCACAAAGATTCACAATTTGATCATCAGTTTCAGCCAAG